CAGGTGTGGCTGTAAAGCAGGTGTAAAGCAGGTGTAAAGCAGGTGTAAAGCAGGTGTAAAGCAGGTGTAAAGCAGGTGTGGGTGTAAAGCAGGTGTAAAGCAGGTGTAAAGCAGGTGTAAACAGATGTAAAGCAGGTGTGGCTGTAAAGCAGGTGTAAAGCAGGTGTAAAGCAGGTGTAAAGCAGGTGTGGGTGTAAAGCAGGTGTTGTCCAGGTGTGTGTCTCACCTGGGTCTGTGGCTCCTGTTGCTCATGTTGACTCTTCAGATGAATGATTTTACTGACAGGAAGTGAGCCAAACAGCAGGTAACACACCTGTCTGTTCAGGTGTGGGAACAGAAGACAGCTCACCTGAACTTCAACCTGTCTGTCAGTGTGATGATACAAACTGGGATTAAATGCAGATAATTACATTATTATTTACATTAATAACTAATAACTGCATTCATAGTTACATTATTTATTATAGTATTAAATACTTTAATAATTACATTAATAATATTAATTAATTATTAATAACTTCATTAATTGTTACATTAATAATTAATTAATATTATTAATGTAGTTATTAACATTAATAATTACATTAATAATATTAATTAATTATTAAAACATTAATTAGTACATGAATATTTCCATAAGGACAGACTTGTTCTGTGGTTAAAGGTGACACTTGGTTGAACAGGTGTTTTACCTGTTCACTGTCAGACTGACATCAGCAGGTAAAACACCTGTTCAACCTCAAACACACCTTTAGAAACACGATCCAAACAGAACAAGTGCTTTAAACCAGTGGTTCCCAAAGTGGGGGTCGGGACCCAAGGTGGGGTCCTGAAACATCAAGGTGGGGTCCTGAAACATCAAGGTGGGTCCTGAAACATCAAGGTGGGTCCTGAAACATCCAGGTGGGGTCCTGAAACATCAAGGTGGGTCCTGAAACATCAAGGTGGGTCTGAAACATCAAGGTGGGTCCTGAAACATCAAGGTGGGTCCTGAAACATCAAGGTGGGGTCCTGAAACATCAAGGTGGGTCCTGAAACATCAAGGTGGGTCTGAAAAATCAAGGTGGGGTCCTGAAACATCAAGGTGGGTCCTGAAA